GGGGGGGGGGGGGAAGAGGAAAGACGAATTGTAAGGAAACGATAAAAAGTAAGATGAGCGTAACTCAACGCGATTTATCTGGGGGTCAGAGGACCGCGTAATTACATATTTTTGTATATCAGCGGGTTATTTGAAATGATCGAGCGTCAACGATGAGTTTCGCGATTGTTTTCGTCGGAGGAATTCGTTCGGAAACTACTTGAGACTTGAAAAGGAAAAAAGAAAAAAAAAAAAGAACGTGTACCTACTCTGCGGCTAACTATATTGCATCTTCCACTGCCAGTATTTAAGTATCATGTATTTATATCCATCATCACGAACGATCCAGGATCGCCTGCTGGATCTATCGTTATTATCGATCGATTGTTCTTCTCGCACTTTCAAACACTTACACTCTTTGTAGAACCTTTATTGGTTTATTCGAGGCAAAAAAAAAAAAAAAAAAACAGAAAGGAAGGAAGGATATTGCACAAAGTGCAAGCTCTTTGCACTTTGATCTTGTTTGGCTCAAATTTGTTGACTCCGCTTTATTTTACCGGGAATTTAACTTCTGTCGTAGGAGAGAAGAGAGGGCGAAAGGTAATCAGAAAACACAAAGGATCAACTCAGTCGATGAAATATACTCAGCAGTAGCACACAGTGCACAGTGTTCAGCGTTTTCCTACCCTTTCGGTACGAGCGACGCTTATTATATTACTTTGGGGAACGGAATGTTCGGACGAACGAACGACCGGACGAAGACGAATCGAAAACGCCAGCTGCGATTCACCGATCTTGACGTTGGATAATTTTCGTCGAATATCTATATTATAGGCTTTCTATTGTTAGACGATTCTGTAACCTTGGTACGTTAAGCGGTTTAATTAAGTTAATATATTGCTTGTATCCACGCGAGGGTTACACGCCGCGACGCGCGTGTAATTTTCCACGTTTTATAATATAACGAATTCGAATTGTAGAAAGTGTAAAATGAGTGAGTATTTAACGAGTAATAAATATTTATCGAGAAGGTTCGAATTACATAAATTCGATTGCAATTGCAAAGTCGTACCGAAAGGGGACCAACGAGGGATGAGTGAAAGATCGATCTTTCTCTATATTATATTTTTTAGATTGTATCGTATTATAGTCATTCGTATAATTTTTAAACGCAGAACGAGTTAATGTCTTTTACTTTACTTATGTTATCATCTATTGATTCCCTATCGATATCTTCGGCGCGGATTACTTTGTAATTCCTTGTAGTATTCTATGCGATCGAATTAATTTACTGTTCTTTTCTTTGTACGCTGTTTCTTTCGTCTATGGGAATGTGAAGAGAGGAATGGAGGGGGGAGCAGGTAAAAAAAAAAAAAGAAGAAAAAAATAAAAGGGAGACGAAGAAGAATATATCTCGTAGTACCACAACGTTGAATGTGTCACTTATTCTCATTGATTTTCTTTCTCCCTTTGTACGCAGTAGAAGAAAGAGAGACGATAGGTGTACCATAGCGACGTATTTTACGAGTTGATAGTATTATAATAGCGATATAAGTTGCCTAACCGCGCGTTGCGTTTGGGAGATTTATTTCTGCGCGATTATTAAGTAAATTCGGTTCCACGGAGCTACGGATCACTGGAACTTGTTGTTGTTGTTAACGCGTTGCTCGTTGATCCAGCTGATTTCCATACATTTTTTTTTTTTTTTTTTTTTTTTCATTCTTTGCCAATCAATTCTCTGTTTCATTTCTCCGAAAATCTTTGGGATCTTCGAAAATCGACCTGGGAATACTAAGTTTCTCGATATCCTTTTGTTTTTTTTTTTTTTTTTTTTTACTCTCGATACTAATCGTTTTCACAGCGAAACGAAATACGATGGCGAGCAACGCGGCGGATTGAACATTTGTAAACGAGACTGGTAACGAGAATGAACAGACACGATCGAAAGCTTTTGGAATTTTGATGATTTTTTGGTGGTTTGGATCTTCCATACCGACGCAGGACACACTGATCGTTAACTCCATCTTCAGCGTGAAAGATCATCCGTGTGTGTCACGAACGGCTAGGAGATAAAGTAGAGACGAGATGCGAGCTCCGATGAAAAACAGAAATTAAATGGCCAAATTCGAGACATTCGAAAGAAGTCATAAAATTCCTCTTCAATTCGTATTAAATTAAGTTCGTAATCATTTCGCCAACAATTCAAAAACCAGGGAAACGTGAGTAGAGGAATTCATTCCGAATTGTCGCGATGTCCCTTCGGGACATTTTGAAAACTCATCAGATCACGGAAATGCTTCCTGGTCGTGCGTTTCAATCTGATCGTCATCAATTATCATCGATATACTGAAAGCTCGTCGATTCCTTCGAGAAAGAGAGAGAGAGAGAGAGAGAGAGAAAGTGAGAGAGAGAGAGAAAGAGAGAGCGCGAGGAATGAAGAAAAATAGGATATCGGAGGCCGAACTGATTGCGAGACAGAGACGAGTCTGAAACCCAGTAACAACGCTGCCGGTTATTACGAAGGAAGTTGCGAGGGCCGTAGTCATTAATGAATCCCGCATTCGACCAAACATAACGTGCGAGTAACGTCTCCTTGTAACGAGATTGACGTTCGCGCGGGACGTTTAACGTGAGCGAGAAAGAAAAGAAAAGAAAAGAGAAAAAAAAAAAAGAAAAAAAAAGAAAAAAAAGACGAGAAGAGAAGGGAGATCGATGGACAGGTGTAAAGGGGGATGGGGTTGGGAGGGGGGGGGGAAGAAAGATATAGGATTTTCTACAAAGCTTAACGTCTATTACTGGACAAT